CATCCTAAATATGAACTTGGTTAAACCAAAGAGGGGAACTGCAACGGAGAATATAGGTTCCTTTCCGCTTGCAGTCAACTCTGGAGCACGTTCCTTCATCTTTGAACTTTGAACCACCGCCCGCTTTAGCCAAACGGACCACTCGCCGCAGCTAGTGACAGGTCCCGGCAACTTCGAATGTCACACCGTACTTCAGCGCGATGCTTGGTGCTGGTGAAAGAGGGGCCTCCGAGACGTGTGTAATTCCAGGTTCTGGCAGGGAGATGTGGTTACTGGGTCCTTGCTGGCTGCAATTCTACGTCTTTGTTATAATTAAACCCATATAGTGCCCAATAGTGATTAGAAATGATTGTTTTTCATATAGCCCCAACAGGGAACCAGGTTAAGGGTTTTGGGTTTAGGGTTTAGGGAATATAGCCCCAACAGGGAGTTAGGGCGGTAGTGAAGTTGGAAGGAATTTCGACTGAGCAAGGCATGTCCGAAAGAAGTCCTGGGTGAGGCCGCTGCAGAGGCTCTTCGGGACTTTAGGGGTTTCGGGTCTTAGGGTTTAGGGTTTAGGAGTTTAGGGTTTAGGGCTTGGGGGTGCGATTGCTTCAAACCAGCAGCGCAATGTGGTGGGCACATGCTTTTGTGCACCACAACAAAGTTCGATTGAAAGACATGTATGACAAACGCAAGCAGTCAATGCCCATGTCGGCATGCTCTGCTTTAGGTACAGATGGCAATCTGGGTGCTTGTATATGCATGTACGTGCGTATGTATGTATGTATGTATGTATGTATGTATGTATGTATGTATGTATGTATGTATGTATGTGTATATACTCATATATACATATGTGTGTATAAGCCTATGCTGCATATATATATATATATATGTACACATACATACATACTTATATATATATATGTGTGTGTGTGCATATGTGTACGTGTATCTATATATGTATGTTTGTTTGTTTGCATGTATGTATGTGCACATACACAAGCATGTTACCTATGTGTTGAAAGCAAAGACATTCCAATACAAGTCTGAGTATACACTCACCAAAATACAGATCTATGTTTATATATATATATATGTACATACACATGCATATGTGTGTATGAAACTCTCGTACACCTAAGTATGCAAATATGTACACACATGAATACACACATACACGCATGCATGCAAAGATACGCACATACATTGCGTACATATATATATATGCAGACATACATGCAAACATACATACATACATACATACATACATACACGATCATTGCAAACATACCTACCTACATACTCAGATACATACATACATACATACATACAGACATACAGACATACAGACATACATACTAGCATTGCATACATACATGCATACATACATACATACACGATCATTGCAAACATACCTGCATACATACTCATGTACATACATACATACATACATACATACATACATACATACATAATAGCATTGCATACATACATACATACATACATACATACATACATACATACACACATACATACATACGTTGCATACATACATGCATGCATGCATACATGCATACATACGTACATACATGCATGTATACATACATAAATACAGTGCATACATGCATTCATACATATATGCATGCATACATGCATGCATGCATACATGCGTACTTGCATACATACATAATTGCATACCTACCTACATACATACATACATACGTACATACATACTAACACTGCATACATACTTTGCATGCATACATGCACATGCGTGCATACATGCATACATACATACATACAGACATACATACATACATACACCATACGTACACGCATTCCGTTATGGTGTTTGACCGGTGTTATTCAAGATAACACATCGGAGCTAAGTCTCTCCTCAGGCCCTACCCTACACCCGAAAGGCAAAGCCTTTTAAACACTAAGCCCTACCTGGACCCTACAAAACCCGCATTTTTTGGGTTCCCTATTATGATTTCCTTAGATCCTTAAAGAGGTAGGTTACGTAGTTGGGGTCCAGGCAAGACCTAGACCCGAAACTCTGCGTGAGGCGAAATGCCCTACCACCACCCGCAATCCGGGCCCGGAGCCTGGGACGTTTCGGTGCTGTTCTTGCTTCGGGGAGTGGAGGATCATGGGACTTAGTAACTAGGGTTATAAATAAGGTAACTATACTTATAAGTTATAAGTAATTATAACCCCAATTAAGGTAGTTATAACCTTACTTACTAAGTCGCATGATCCTCCAAGTAGAGGGCAGTGTTGGAAAAGAGGCTTGGCCAATAGTAACCCTGTTTCTCAGGGTTCCTAACTTAGCAGAACCTGTATAATCAAGTTTGTCACATATCATCCCCCCGTCAACCCCCCAAAAAAGAAAAACTATTCTCAGCATTATGACCCCTATGTTACCTATTGCAGTTTTGCTTAGCTTACGGCTCTTTATTTTAAGCTTGCTTAAACTTAAAAGCAAAGGGAAATTATAATGGTCAATATAAGAATTATCCTGGATGCTTACGTAAACTAACCGGCCATAGCAAGAAGATGTATCCATGCATCGAAAAGTGCTGGCTTCCCGGGTTCAGAGATATGCAGGCGTGGTGCCGGGTTTTCCTCAACATTTGTGTGAGGTGTGGCAAGCAGTGCAAATGTCTTTGCAAGTGGATTTCCAGCCAAAGCTCGTGGAGTGATATCCTCCTGTAGGCAGTAGACTTTCAGATCGTGTGGCCGTGATGAGCTGCATCTTCGAAATCCATGAAATCTGTTGCTAGTTTCCCCAATGTCGTAGTTGACCCCAATTGGGCACCTGCTACAGCTGTCACATCGCCAGCCTTTCTCTCGCGGAAGAAAGAGTTGTGCTTTCTTGATTGCTACGTGTCATGAGCAACCAAAATTTTAGCTCTTTCAATTTCTTCTTCCAGAAGCATGACCAACGGCGATGTGGAAAGAGAATTCGTTCTGCATGGCCGAAGAACGGCAATTAGGTCCACCTGGTCCTTTTCCGTAAATGCTCTGTCATGGATATGTAGGTCTCACTTTGAGACACTGTCTCTCGGCTCCCTAGCATGAAGGAGGATGTCATCTGTTTTTTTTAGCCTGCCCAGTCTGAAGCCTCCAACCCTAAGCCCCAAAACAAGAGCTAAGGGATCCGACAGGCACCCTGACTGGGATTTCCGAGCCCAGCGCTTAGGCCAGAACGATTTTTTTTGTAACGGGAGAAGTGCTGTATCTGCCCTAAACCCTAAAACCCTAGCGCTTAAACCCTAAACCCCTAGACCCTCAACCCTAAGCCTTTGTAGCCTCGTCGTCTTGGACTTGGAGATCTCTGACCGGAGTTGTGCGAACGTACGCTGTGCACAGCCAATTTTCTTGCAGTTTTAAAAGCCCTCCTGGGGCCGCCGACGTAAGTCTGTGGCCGAAAAACTCACTGAGATCTGATTCTGATCCTTTTCCTCATCATCATCGTCACAGAGATTTTGTCATCGACAGCACCATCGGCCCACCACCACCACCACCACCACCACTTGCATCATTATTCACCACCAGCATCATCGGCCTTGCCATCGTCATCACCATCGCCCCCCCCCTGCGTGTGAGTCTCATCCGATTCACCATCATCGCGATAGTCGTCATCATCGTCATGACGGGGGCAGTCAGGGCAGTCATCATATGTCTCTGTCGTCATCATCACCATCATAGTCGTCATCATCTTCTTCATAGTGACCATCGACACCATCGCAACCATCATCGTGATCCTCAGAATCATCATTACCAGCTTCATCGGCATCAGGCGTCATCATCAAAATGATACTCGTCGCCATACTCATCATCATCCTCCTCACCATCTTGATAACCATCATCGGTATCATCATCGTTGTCACCACCATCATCATCATCGCTATCAGCATCATCATCGTCATCACCTTCTTCTGTCACACCATAAGCACCATCACCACCGTCGTCGTTGTCATCGTCATCATAATGACCACCAGCAGCAAGAGCACCACCTTCATCACCATGAACATTATCACCCCCCCTTTCTCCACCACCTTTGCAAGTACTAGTGCCATCGTCAGCACAATTAAAAGCATGTTCGTGGTCATCGCCATTGTCTTGATCATCATCACATCTTGGGCTGCATTCTGAACCACCATGTTTTCTTCAGCATTCGCGTCGTCGTCAGAATCATTTTCACGGCCATCGTCACGACTGCCGTTATTAAAAGACAGGAAGCACGCGAATAGACATCGATGTTGGTAGCATCGCCAGCCGAATTCTTATGTCGCGTTTACTTGAGTCACCGTCTTTCTGGTAATCCTCCGTAATTTTCAAAGACGACAGCAAGTAGCATTCTTGTTCCCAACAGCATATTCAACCGTTTAGAAGGGCCGCGCTGTTTCAGGGTGGTGCACTCCCTTCGATGAGTTTTGCAGACGCCTTGCTGCTGTTACCCACGGCTTCAGTATAGGTGCATACGATAATGATTATGTTATTTTGGTGATTTAGTACTATTAGTGCTTAGTGGTATTGTCCCTAAACCCTAAACCGCCAATAGGACATCCCCTGGCCATGGTTCTACCCCTCCGACAGCGCAAGCTATGAAGCCTCCCCTGTGAAAGTCGGACCTGCAACACAGTGCGGTTTAGGATTTTGGGTTCAGTTAGGGTCAGGGCTTAGGGTTTAGGTGCAATCCGCTCCTTCCGTCTCCGAACTTAGACTTCTCCATCCACCTAGACCTAGAACCCGGATCCCTAAACCCAAAAAGCCCCTAAAGTCCCTAAAGCAGCGACTCATTCGGCCCCTAACATGGGCCCTTAGGGGGGTTCTAGGTCCCTTAAGGGTACCTATAGGGTATATAGTAGGTTCAACCTGAGATTCAGGGAGCTCTGTATATTATACTATAGCTATAATAAGGACCCCCCAAAATAGTATAGGTAATTATTAAAGCCCCTATAGTAGCTTCACGGAGCTCTTCTCCAGAAGCCTCGGTTTGGTGTGCGATGGAGCTTGAAGCTCATGCCGAGCTTTCTGGAGGCGAGACTTAGGATTTAGGGTTTAGGGTTTTAGGGTTTAGGGTTTAGGGTTTAGGAGTTTAGGGTTTAGGGTCTAGGGTTTAGGGTTTAGGGTTTAGGTGAGAGGTTTAGGGCATGGTTTAGGAATTCCCTCAGTTTTGTTTGCTGTTACATGGAATGCAGATGACTGGATGCTGGTGGGGTCAGGTTTCCGTTTTGATTCAAATATTCAATTGCCACAACACGCCATGCCTGCACACAATGTTGGCGGATTTCAGCATGATTGCTACTTGCAGGTTGGAGGTCAAGTGGAGTAATTGAGTAATGCATGAGCTTTTGATCGAAGTCGTTGCTTTGCAGGTGGTTCGGACGAGGATGATGACATCGCCCGCTTTGAACGGCAGTGTGCGATGCGCGCTCAAGCAGAAGGCTACCTGCCGGACGAGGCACACTGGTCGAAGTCGATGCGCCATGATCTGCTCCGTACCCAGTTCGACGGAGTAAGTAGGGTTACAATGGGGGTTATAAGTTCCCTAAATCGGGTCATCCTCGTTACAACCTGACTTAAAATAAATATCCACACCAAGTCCCAAAAGCCTTCTGAGTATGCCTGATTGAGTATCAAGTTCTTAGCAACGGCATCTCCAGCTGCCGCCAGGCCGAAGCCAACTCGGACGACGAGGATACCCGGGTAAGGTGCACCCATGTGCACCCTGGGTAGTCTGCTGGGTGATGGCGGTGGCACAAAGATGAGGATGTGGACGGCGATGACCATGTTGATGCTCACCATGACGACAGTGGTATTGATATGTGTTGTTGTCGATGTCGTAATTCGATGGTGATGGTTGTCCCTGGAAGTGTACAGTGTACATGATGCAGATAGCGATTGTGACGATGGCGATGGCGGTAGCGTCGTGGTGACATACTCATGAATGCCGCGCTTCCATTCTGCGTCTATCACCAGCATCCGAGTACCTCTAACGGCACCACTGCAACAACATCACCAACAGCAACAACGAAAACAACGACGACGACAACTGCAACAACAACAACAACAACAGCAACGCCAAGACCACCACCACCACCACCACCACCACCACCAACAACAACAACAGCAACGACAACATCAACAACAACAACAACAACAACAACAACAACAACACAAACAGATAAAGCAACAGCAACAGCAACCACAGCACCACCGCAACAACATCGCCACGAGCAACAACGACAACGACGACGGCAACCACAACAACAACAACACCAACACCACCATCACCACCAACAACAGCAACAGCAACACCAACAACACCAGCACCAACAGCAACAGCAACCACAACCACAACAGCAACAGCAACAGCAACAGCAAAAGCAAAAGCAAAAGCAAAAGCAAAAGCAAAAGCAAAAGCAAAAGCAAAAGCAAAAGCAAAAGCAAAAGCAAGAGCAAGAGCAAGAGCAAGAGCAAGAGCAAGAGCAAGAGCAAGAGCAAGA